TCAATGCTTTACAGAGAGGGTTGCTGGTGGAAAGTCCGTTCTCTTCAAACAGGAACTGAGAATTACATTCCAAGTAATTATGTGGCAAAGGTTTATCATGGGTAATTTTAGACTAATTATCCTCATTGATGTATGTTTCATGATGATCCCAGAAATATATTCCCAAATTCAAAATAACATCTGGACATAATACAATAAGTACCGAATCATAAATGTCGCTAGAGACAATTTCCTGTAATCTCTTTCAGAATATTATAAAGGCTTTATTTACACTACCATTCAAAAGTTTGGGGTAGGTAAGTTTTTTTGGTTTTTTTTCTCCAAAAGAAATCTCTTATGCACAGCAAGGCTGCATTTATTTGATCAAAATACAGTAAAACAGTAATATTGTGAAATATCATTTCAATTTTAAATAATTTTCTATGTTAATTAAATTAAATGAATCCTCATTGTCACATGAACCTTCAGAAATCACTCTAATATAATGAATTGCTGCTCAATAAATATTTTTTATTATTACAATTGTTGAATACAGTTGTGCTGCTTTTGTCGAAAACATAACACATTTCTTCAGGATTCTTTGATTAATAGAAAGTTTTAAAAAGAGCATTTAATTACAGCATTTATTTGAAACATTTTTAATATCATTAATGTCTTTACTGTCATTTTTGCTTAATGTGTCCTTGCTGAATACCAATAATTTCTTTGAAAAAAAAAAAGTTGCTGACCCAAAACTTTTGAATAGTAGTGAACTTCTTTTGATTTTATTGCATACAGTTTATAAACCATATCATGTGAAACACCAGCAAACATTTATTTATGGAGAACATTGTTATTTATATAAGACCTTCATTTATACTGAATTGTGAAGTCATTGTTTTCAGTTGTTAACATCATTTCCTCTTTACTATGTTATGTTTCTAAAGATGGCTGTTTGAGGGGATTAGCAGACAGAAGGCAGAAGAGCTTTTGTCATTGCCTGGTAACGGTGTTGGATCATTCCTAATTAGAGAAAGTCCGAGAGAAAGAGGTAAGTACCTGGAAGTGTCTTCTACTGTTGCATACTAAACACAGAAAGTTTTCCATTCACACACATTACGGCAATAAGTGTCAAGTGCAAGTGAAAAAGACAATGCAGTCATAAGTGCTGTTCCATGCAGGTGTATATTCTCTCTCTGTGAGACACAGGACCATAAAGCACTATAAAATATTCCGTCTGACTAATAGCTGGTACTACATCTCCCCACGGCTTACCTTTCAATGTCTGGAGGACATGGTCAATCACTACTCTGGTGAGAGCTAAAGACAAAACTCTCATATTCTGCTTGTAATGTGGAAAGAGTATGTGATACATTAATGCTAATGTGTTTTGGTTTCCCTCAGACTCATCGGATGGTATATGTTGTGTTCTCAGCGCTCCGTGTCTAGCTCTGTCCAACCCTGCCCAGAGCACATCCCAGGAAGCGCCTCCTGTGGTAATGCGCCGTAACTTGGATTGGAAGAAAGTGAATAAGTACGTCTCTGTCTTTTTAGATGCTGCTAAGCATTTCCTCCATTTGCTGAGCTTGTATAGAGTGACTGGTATTTCTCCGCATGAATAGGTCACAGCTGATGAGCCCAAACGAGCTGGATAATGCGGACTGCAAAGATAACATGATGAGCTACGGTGTGAGGAGCAGCATAGCCGCCTATCTGTCTTTAACATCAGTACCTGAGCTAGAGAACGCCAAAGGCCGCAAGAAGAAGAGCAAGTCTGTCTACGTGATGCCTGACCACAGTAATATAAATGAAGATGAGGACTATTAGCTCATGAGTGTAGACTTTTAATCTTTTTATTTTAACCAACACATTGCTATGGACTGTAATATTTTTGCACTGGGTTAAGTGAATCTTTCACATACATGTCCAGGTCACTTTTCTATGGAAGCCGAAGAGTTTACATCTCACAATTCCACGATTACATTTCGCATTTACATTTACTTTTTTTCTCAGAAATCTGAGTTAACATCTCATAATCCATTTTTTTTTTTTGTAGTTGTTTGTGGCATGGAATAAAAATGAAAATAGTAATTGCACATTTTTATCTCACAATTCTGACTTTTTTTCTTGCAATTGTGAATTAACATCTAAAAAAAAAAATTCTCGAAATTGAGTTAACATCTTGCAAATCTGAAATTTTTCTCAAAATTATGAGTTTGTCTTATAATTCTGAATTCTCAGTCAGATCAGTTTGTCAGTCAGTCAAAATTATGTCTCTCATGCAATGCTATTTAAAAAGTATCATAGCAGATAAGTCACGTCTCATGTCTGCGAATGACAGATCACAAAAATCACGTTTTAAAATGAACGGATGAATAATAGATGCCCATAAAAGCTACATAGTGCTTCCATATACTGTATTTTCCAATTAATCTCAACTGTGGCATGACCTAACTGTCCTGACATTTCCATTATACTCAAATTGCTTGCAGGTTGCATTCACTTAATTTGAGGCTGTAAACTTTAAGAGTATTGAACATTACATAAATGTTGCTTTATTGATACTTTTCAGCACAATTTAAATGGAGAAAAAAAAGACAATTCAGGGTCATTTGCACTCCTTTTCTGGCATAAATAACGAGATATGTTTTTATTTTGAATGTATTTCTGCAATACATTTGTGTCTAGATGGCGGACTTTCAAGGGTTCAGACAGAGCAATGTGAACTTTGAAGATGAAATATTCTGTCAGTCATATGTGTGAGAGATATGACTCTTCCCGTACAGGGGAAAGAGAGTATGTACCAAGGAGTATGCATTGGAAAGGCACATTTAAACACTTTCCCTCCCAGCAGATGTGTTCCAGATGTGTTCCGACAAATCATAAATAAGTCTGAAACAAAAACGGGTGCATTGCTGTACTACCAGCACTTATTCTTATTAGTATCACTTGCAGAAGTGAGGGAATATGCTTACAGATTATTTATATTTCTCTTCTCTGTCAGGCATCTTATATTGGCCGAGGTGTCTTATGCTTCACATAATGAGCTCATTTGCTAAACTGAGGAACATTCTCTGTATAAGGAACATCCTCTTTATAAAAAATAATAAATGTATACTGCAGCACCCAATCAGAGACATTTTTTCCAAAGCAGATATTTCATTAAAATTAGAAATTAGAAAAGGACATTTAGATATTTATAGTTTTTTTTTTTTTTACTTTACTAATATCGATACTCAATATCACTTTGGTGTTGGGAATCAACAATATTGCACTTAAATGTGCATTTTAAAGTGCATGTTCACCCAAAAATTTTAATTCTGTCATTATTTACTTTCCCTTATGTCATTACAAACTGATAAGGCAATACTTCATAAGAAGTTTGCAAACAGAGGCTGTCACTGCAGCCACGTATGCACGGTGAGAGATGCAGGGTTTAGTTTAGTTTATGGCAGGCAGGTGGAACTCTGTTTGGGCCAACAATCTGTTCTCTCTTCATCATCTGAGATTTGGCCTGTGTCATTCTGTTCAATTAATCATCAACAGTGTTTTTGTCTCGACAGGAACTCAAACTTTAGGAAACGTCTCAAGCGTTTGGAACTGATACTGTTCTTGATAAGGGCTTTTGGAAATTTTTATAATACTGGATGTAACAAATTTAATCTAAATATGATTATGGAACTGGCATTTTCATTATAGATTTGAGAGCTACAGTCAAACCAAAAAATATTCAGACACCAGATATAATTTTTGATATTTTTTTACTAGTGGGTGCAGGACACTATAGTTCATTTATGTAAGTGAGGATAGCAAAATAAAGTGAACTGTGACATATTAAACCCAAAAATTTTTCATACAGTGGACTACCAGTAAAATTTGAGATAAAAAAATTATTCAGACACTTTGACCGGACCATGTTTTGCTTAAGTATTTTTTCTTTAATTGCAAGAGACTGAGAAAATCACAGGCTGAGACATTTGGGGCACGGTCTGCATTTGTGATGAGATTAGTAACTTCAATTAGCATTTAATAAATGGACTATTGTTGCTTCAGCAGCACCACTGAAATGCACAGCAGCAGTTGTTGAGCTGGTGTGAGATGTGTGGAATTACATTATGCACCTTAGTTATGGGATTAATAATTAAAATCATAACATTTGCAGCATGTACATCGTGTTACAAAAAACTTTTGCTAGGCAGCGAAACCCTGCAGCCCTCAATTCAAACTGCTCTCAGTGATTTCAGTTAAATGTGCTGTATTGGGCCGACAAATAACTGCACATTTATTACCAAACATTTTGCAACTTTTGTGTGCAATGAACATTGGGCTGACATTTTTTTTAATGTTGCCAGATTGTGCAAAGGTGATTAGATTTTATTGGACAAAAACTTGGAAATGGCAAGTTTTTGGGGTCTATTTTTAGCAAATTTCAGGTATGTAAAAATATTTATTTATTTATAATTTTCTTAATGAGAACATTTAAAAAAAATACATTTACAATCACAATTTTTATATTCTATTTTAATATAATATAATAGTCATAATATAATATAATATTTATGTAGTAAATAATAATACATCTAAAAGTACTACAATAAAAGTAGCACAACTAGGGATGTCAAAAGATTACAATATGTTCATCAATTTGTTTTTGTGGTTGATACATTTATTTTTAGCAAGTAAAACAAAACAATACACTTAAGTTTTGTCAAATGTAATAATTTTAATATTATTGTAATGTTGTCATTTTAATATTATTAATGATTTAATATTAGTATTAATTGTCCACTTTTGAGTAGGCTACACTAGATCAAACTAACAGATGTGCTCTAAGAGCTACAAACCTAATGTCTATAATAACATGAATAATTGAAAAAGAAAGACAAAATATTAAGGTAAAAGTGAAAAGGGCAAAAACAGTAATAAACAGACATTCAAAATGAAAAGTTTAGTGAGACAGAGACACTGTCCCTCAGTCTGCCTCTGATCACTCTCTCTCTCTCTCTCTCTCTCTCTCTCTCTCTCTCTCTCATACTACTGACTCGCCAGTGGCTGCAGCAGTCAGTCCTGTGGTTGTAGTTTGGTATATTGCATGTAGATGAACAGTCCTTTACTCAGAAGCGAGTGCGCGGGGAATATAGTAGAGAACAGACGGAGGGATCTTTTAAACTAAACCAAACGCGCTTGCAGCATTGAGACTCCTAGCAAACTCAGTGTTGTGGTGAGCGCTCGTGGGGTCGGATCGGCGGGAATGGCTTCGTCTCCGTGCGGCGGTGGGAACTTTGATTGCGGGCTGGAGATCCAAACTCGCTCGGTGGAGCAAACACTCATCCCGCTCGTGTCTCAGGTGAGTCCGGATCAAAGAAACTTCTCGGCGGGGGCATTAATCCTTTAAAACCTTCAGCAACCGCTTAATGGACGAATGCGGGATTTAAAACACAAACAACTTTCCCGTATCATGTGTAAAGGTTAACTAGAACACTGTCTGAACCCCCAATTTCCCGAGGGTAACCAGAGTTTCCGCCAAAATGCCTCAAAATTATTATGGAGACTCTTGCGTCGGTGTATGTCTGTTATTTTGGTTCATTTCTTTGAATTAGGTGGCAAATCTTTTTAATATTCGTGGTATTCGCCATGTTAATTTAATGTCAGGGAAGTGTGTTGTTTGTATTCTACAGGGTCTCTGAATGAATAAGAAGTGAAACTTTTTCAGGTTATTTGAGAAAGTGTGGTTCTCCATTAGTTTACTGTCAAAAACTGTAAGGATTTGACTAAATTCAACTAATTTATTACAATAAAATATAATTTTACTGAAACCAGTAATTTCTCTTATAACAAAATATATTTTGTATATCACTAATAGTCTTAACCGTTTGATTTGACAACATGATTATGGTGCTGCTTATAACACAATTTCATGGGAGTTCATAACATTTACATTTTGACAAATTGGTGGCTAATTTATAAGAATTTGCACAATTTCATTCATACATTTCCTTACAATCTGCTTACACTGATGGTTAGTGTTAGGGGTGGACCTTCATGCTTACTTTTTTTTCTAAAGATCATGTTTATGTATGAATCACATTTTACTATTTCATTTCATACTGCCGCCTCATAAAATAATAATTTTCTCATTAGTTTAGGCTGATTATTGTTTCCCTTGGCTGGAATTTTGTACCTTATTTACTTTTAATTGATTTTCTACCTGCAGGTGAAATTAGACAATTTCATTCACAGGCAGGAGTTCTGTGGTGATGAGTGCTGCATGGCTGTGAATTGGTCGTAGGCAATTCTGTGTTTCCCGAAACCAGCTACAGCCTTCGACCTGTGGTTAGAAGTTAATTGTATGTCATGATATTGAAACGTGTAAATAAAAAAAGCAAAAGAAAGGAGAATAATAATAGTAGTCCACGTTGCTATTTGGAGTAATAACATGAATTTGATTTGGAATGAATTAATGAGCTGAAGTTATTGCTACACCACCTGTGTGACGTCATTAATGGCAGTTACGTGTCATGGTTTAAACAACACATGTGCGACAGAGTTAATACAGTTTTGGGAACAGCCATGCCTAGCTAATTTCTCCAATTAGGCCTATGCTTTATTCTGCAGTAGTTAAGCAGAAAGTTCTGTTGTTATACGGGCAATGGCGATACTAACTATATTTAACGTTTTGGTGAATGGGTAACTAATTCATAAAAATCTTACAATGTCATTTGTACATTTTCGTATCTGCTTATGTCCCACTGCTATTTAGGGGTAGACCATCATTCTTATGTTTTTTTTCCTAAAAAATATGTATACATCCATATGTATTACATCGTACAAATTCATATGGAATTGCCATCTCATAAAATAGTTAAATTTTCTAATGAGACCGCATTGGAAACACACTCCTGAGTGATACTGGAGAAAGAGAAAACAGGCTCTCGACTTTTGAAAATGTTGGATTGATAGAAGCAGTGAAACATTCCAGTGTTCTTAAAGCACTATAGTTGCTGCTATAGTCTTGTAACTTGCAATCTTTAGTTATTCACAGCTCACAGCTGCTGATTTCTCATTAAATAACAGGATTCACCTAGGTGATGGTGACATAACTTGCTGTTCTGAAAAGCAGAGTGTTTTGGTTCAGAAGCATCTGTGAGAAATCTGTTTCCATGTGATTTTCACATGCATAACTGTTATACTTTCAAAACCCTTCCAATGCACTTGCAAGCCTTTAGATCTGACATTATTAAAATTTATTTTTATTTTGCCCTTCTACCCCACAAGCTTAGGGGAGACGAGTGGTTTAGAGAATGGATGTGCCATTCTAATGGAATTGCTAGTTGGTTTAGTGTTGTGATGGGAGATGATTGCTGAAATGTTTTTTGAAAGTTTGCTAGTTAGTGGTGTTCACTAGGACGGCTGATGGTAATGAGGCTGAAATGTCAGTGTTAGAAGACATGCTAATTGCCCATTCAGTAGACCTTTGGGTAATGGGACTGCTTTCAGTGCTTTACAGATTCTGGACAATAGATTGTCAAAGGGGCCTTGGTCAGAACCCTTCCCCCAACTACAGTTTTGTCAAGCAATCTAATGCTTACTGACCAGATACAAATGTAAAAGATGTTGTCTTTCGTGCAACTGCCAAATTCCCTGTATGCACAAGTCTGGTATAGTTGCAATGTCGTAAGCACAGTTGTAGTCCACTTTGAAATCGGTTCCAAAAATGAGGTGGTTGTTTGATTTGTTCCATGAGGATTTGAGCTGAATTGAAAACTACAGAATTAACATTAATTGTGTTGCATGATTTTTGAATGTGAAAGTGCCATTAACATCTCAGGCTATAAGACTGTGTGAAGGACAGGAGGTTGAGTGCAGAGGTCAGATCCTGTGTGTTCTCTCTAGGGGGCTGAACATGATAATGGGAAAGCTTCATGTTGGTGAGAAAGGGTTTTCAAAGCTCATTTATTGACTAATTTTCACAATTGTGATATTGAGCATCCTCACGCACAGGCACACACACAGAGGCTTGATCTCCCCCGGTTATCCTTTCTGTTATCAGTCTTACTTTCACAACTGTGTAATTACTGCTGTTATCCTCTCAGGCCAAGATCAGTCTGTCTGTGTTTTTGCCTGTTGGCCCACTTGTCATATTTGAGATCTTGACAATTGCTGAAAAGCTTCCTCTCGTTTTATTAAGCTGCAGTTTCTATATTGCCATTGATAATTGTCAATGATGGTCAATGTCATTTTTAGTCTGAATATATATATATATATATAATTTTTTTTTTACAACATTAAAATGCTATTCACGCATACAAAACATCTTCTATGATGAGCATAATTTTAGTTTCTCAATTCAAATATATTTTAATACAATTAAATCAACAATGTTTGAGTGATGATTATATAATAAAGAAAAAATAATAATTACAAGAATATGCCTATATTTTTGAAAAGCAAATAAAATAGTTTGGCATAATCTTTTATTATTAATTCCTTTTTATTAATTTATCATTAATACATTATTCCTTAAAGCATGTCCAGAAAAACAAAGTCGTGTGGGGTGAACAAAAGCCAGAAAAATGTACTAAAATTGTGGTGTGACAGTGTAACAATAATTTAATAAATTTTTTTACCTTAAATTTTTTTTACTTGTCTGTTTAGGCTCACACGTGAAACCTTTTGAACACACTAATTTGAATTATAACTGCTGTTGAGACAAATAAAAACAGAACAATCATAATAGTTCATAGTTCATCATAATATCTTCAGTTTCACTGTATGTGCAATGGTCTTGGATTTTTGAGCCAAAGCCAGGACAGGATTTATGAAATTACAAAGTCTTTGATCTGAATAGAATGCTTTTAAACTCATGTGTCAAGAAGCCTTGTTATTACATATTTGTGCTAGTCATGTCCTTATTCTGCAGGACTAAGGGTTGTTTTCCAGAAAAGATTTGAGCAATAATTGGCTGCAAATACTTTCTTGAGCCCTTGTGCTTTTGTAAGCTCTGTGCCATCTACACTTTTGTGAACCTCTGAAAGTTGGTGGAAGTGAGAGTTTTTGCATGTTAAGTACACAATTGAGCCAAAGTTACATTCCATATGCAAAGCCTCTGTTCCTCTCATGACCTAGGCTATTAGTATTTTTGTCAGGGCTACAAAGCTGTTCTGTAAAGGCATATCACATGTGTCCTGCATGGAAAACATCAAAACTGAGATGGTGAGTTACATAATCACAAGAGAACTTCTGTTGGAGGAAATTCTATCACAAGGAGCACTGTTAAGATACTAGATCAACTACGAGCAGAAAGGGTAAGCCTGGTGCCTCCTGTAAGTTGACAAGAAAGATGGATGAATGTGTGCTCAGTGTAAACTGCTTAGGATTACATGGCCAAATACCCTTCAGAGCTAGAACAAAGCAAGCTTCATGTTCAGTATGCGTAAACTTATGTATGTGTGATGGCATGTTCTGTGTGTTTACTTGGCTGCATGAATGTTCTTTGTGTTCCATGTGTTTGTTTAACCAGTGGAGGTGTAAAAAAGGAAGCCAGAATTGATAAGAGTGATATTGTGAACTACAACCCCCATCCAGAATCTTCTGTAGCTGTAAATGAGTTAACATACCATTCAAACCATGGCAAATATAAGTGAATGTGCTTTCTTTTTTTTTCTGTTGAGTTACCAGGTACAGTGGCCCCCAAAAATATTCACTGTTAAAATATATGATTGTTACTGCATTAGGAAATATCAAAATCAAGTGGTATTTACTTTAAAGGGGTCCTATGATGCTGCTAAAAAGAACATTATTTTGTGTATTTGGTGTAATGAAATGTGTATATGCGGTTTAAGGTTAAAAAAACACATTATTTTCCATGCTGTACATTATTGTTTATCCTCTGTGCCCCGCCTTTCTGAAATGCGTAAATTTTTACAAAGCTCATCGTTCTAAAAAAGCGAGGTGTGCTGTGATTGGCCAGCTATCCAGTGCGTTGTGAATGGCCGAATACCTCAAGCGTGAGACGGAAATGTTACGCCCCTCACCATACTGTGATGATGCCCTGTCAGGCCGGAGCGATGATTCAAAAACATGAAAACCCATCATAAACGAGGCATTCGTTGCATCCAGTGGGGACATAATTATGGATTATAATGATTTATACTGTCTTTTTACACGTTGCGTTGCATTGCGCCGCGTAAACATAAAACCATGTCTGCATTTGTGATCGGAGAAATGACAAACAACAAGCCCTACTCTACACTGCCCAAAAAACTCGCTTTAAATCTCTAAAATCTCTTTAAATATAAAACACGTACTTACAGTCTTTGAGTCAGAACAGCCGGCATTGTAGTCTAC